GTGTCACGCTTGGATCTCTTCGCACTCTGTGTACAAGGTCAGCGAAACAGATAACGTTGGCATTTTTTTCACTTTCTAGAAGCGCTTGAGGATTGTAAATGAATGTAGAATATTTTCCAACGAAAAATTGGTATATTTTAAAGAGAAATATGGAGTTATTTGAAGACCGTGTCCAGCCGTGTCATTGAAAAGTTATTAAGTGTCAAGCGCTTGGATGGCTTCGTACTCTGTATACAGGGTTAGCGAGAAACAACAAGTTCGAAATTTTTAGGCTGCCTGGAAGCGCTTGAGAATTGTAAATAAAGGTAGAACATTTTCGTATAAATACTCGTTGGATTTCGAAGAGAAATATGGAAAAATATCGGACTGCCGAACGTTTAATTATTTTAAGTTTAGTCACTTCATTGCAGGAACGTCAGCGACACTGACAGTTTGCGTTACAATTCTTATTTGCTGCTATGCATGGACAACAACCTCGACCACTCTTTCGAGCGCAAATTCCCCTCCACGGACAGGAAACTTCAACTGACCCTTGGTTCTTATTTAACAAGGATGACAAACTTCAATTAAAAAAAATTGATGAATGAATGAAAACGTGGTGGATCAACATTTTAACCCTCTTCGAAAGGATTTTCAACCGATCCATAGGTGTTTACTGCCAAGGAATCTACTAAATCAATGGTTCATCTGATGCCATACCGGATTAAAACGTATAGAACTGTTTTAAACAGAATTATTTTGATAAGCTCTTCAAATTCATCGGAGAAAACACCGAAGGTATTTTGAGACGTGACAAGGTTAAAATAACTGACCAATCAGAGGCGCTATTTAAACAAAAGCGGTAGTTCAAAACAAAAACAAACGACCTCGTTGCATCAAGGTTGGAAATGGGCCTTTAAACTAGTTAGTGAATTTTTCGGTTTGTTTTCTAATTAAATTAATTACTGTTGTAAAAATGATCCATCTAAGCATCTAAATCTTTTTAGGAACCTCACAACGTACAATTTTAGGCAGAAGCTTAACTAATGTAAGCTCGTCTCAAGCTATTGGACAATTCACATAATGGTTAACATCATTTACAATGATATTAACCATTATTCGTACTAAATAGCCAAAACTTTGATGGTTAGCCGTAAAAGCCATCACCCCATTGAGACCCTTCTTCTACTATACTGAGCCCATAATTCTCAAATGCGACTTGTTTGGCTATGACCGTGGTACCTTAGAAAACGAAGTTTCCCCGAATTTCGAGAAATCAGGTAATGTTGACATCAATTCTAAATTAAACGGGAGGCAAGCTTGTAATTATTTGTTATTT